TCACTAGGTGGTCAAGGTCATAAATCAAGGTGTTTTCTACCCATACCTTCTGATCCGCTCAAGATAATTTAACAGAACTTAGTTCAAATTTGTGACACCGCTAGACGGCATGACGTGTAATTTTTTTTAATCGCACCAGCTTCAAGTTCAAGGTCACAAATCTAAGTCAAGTGTGTTACAAGGCCTTTGCTCGTCTGGGCCACCACGCCTGCTGAACAAAGACAATTCAACAAAACTCCGTGCATAGATGCATCACCACAGTACTGCTGCGTAATAGTTTGTTGATGGGGTATGATAATAATTTATGACCTTGACCACCTAGTGATGATGATGGTGTGTAAAGCTTTGTGAAATAATATTAAGCAGACAAGAAGTCATGGGTGGGACAAAAATACCTTGTTTTAACTTTGACCTTGATTTATGACCTTGATAAGGAAGCCACCTGCCATATTCTGTTCTCTTTGTTTTGTTTATTAATCTTTGTTGGTTTTACGCTTCTTTTACAGTTTATATTTGTAGCTTAGATTATTGCAAACAGGTGTGTTTTTGAGCAGTAGCTGCTTGTGCAGCCTTCACAATTTCTTTAGGAACTTTCTAGATTTTTTAACAATTTTATGTAGCTATAAAAATTATATTTTAATCGGTGCCTGTCCAGATTTACAGCCTCAGTACCTTGTTTGTAATCAACTGTCCTGTCAGTCTCAGACGTGTTCATAAATTTGCCCTTTTGGTCTCATCATCTTCGTCTGGTCTTCTTCAGTCTGGCCAGCAGCAGCCGCGACAACCCCGTGCACGTGTGGGACGCGTTTTACGGTGAAGTGCGGGCCAGCTTTCGACCCTACAACCACCTGGACGAGCTGACGGCGGCTCATTCGCTCTGCTTTTCGCCGGACGGAGCGCAGCTGTACTGCGGCTTCGAGAAAATGGTTCGGGTCTTCTACACGGAGCGGCCCGGGAGGGACTGTGAGGAGCGGCCCACTCTAGGTCTGTTGACCTTTACTTTGAAAGGTCCACACTTAACTAGCTGTGTAAACACAAAAGTTGTTGATTTCTCTTTATATTAAGAATAAAAGTCGTTATGTTTCAGTGATTTTTGCAGCTTATTGGGGACTGCGGCAGCCCCCTGTTATTATCCACCTGACGTCGGGTTTCTTAACTTTATGTCTTACTCTTCTGTCAGCTTTACCGCAACATGTACCCCCACAAATTTTATATCAAAGCAACCGGCTTGGCGCCATGATGTGCTATTACTTTTATTGGCGTTTTGGGTTACCATGGCGACGTCATTTGCAAACGAAGACGCCATATTTCCCATACAAAACGCCTGACGGAACCCTCCTCGCACTTAACGGCTGCTGTGAGGTCACATGACTTTGAGCGGAGAGCTCCCTGAAGAAAACTTAGAAAGTCACTGTTGGATTTGTTTGAAACTCTGAAATGAATCGTCAGATGTTTCTCTAGAACTGATTAACGTTTGGAGCCATTTTGGTTCAAGATGGCTGCCACAGCTACCTCAGCAAACACAAAATTGACTATAACTCAGTCATTCTTTGAGATACCGAGCTAAAATTTAGTTTGGTTGTAGCTGAGAACAAGTTGTTACACATTGCTAATGCAAATCAACTATCCAAGATGGCCGCCTTAGCTAAAAGTGAAAAATATGATAACTCCGCTGTTTTTAGAGCTATTCAGCTGAAATTTGGTGTACTGGTAGGCAGCTGAGAACGATCCCTAATAGACTCTGACTGCAAATCAAATATCCAAGATGGCTGCCTGAGCTAAAAGAAACAATACATAAAATCAGCCATTTTTAGAGACATTGAGCAGAAATTTGGTGTGTTGATAGCCAAGAGCAATGCCCATTAAATACCGAATTCAAATCTAAAAATTCAAGATGGCCACCAAAGCTACATTTAAATGGCCTTAAATCAGCTATTTTTACACATGCAGAGCTGAAATTTGGTGAGGTTATAGCTGAGAACATTCCCCATCACATACTGAATCCAAATTAAAAATCCAATATGGCCGCCTTAGCTAAAAGGGAAAATTTTGATAGTTCAGTCATTTTTAGAGCTATGCAGCTGAAATTTGGTTTACTTGTAGCTGCGAGTGAACCCCAACACGTAGTACTGTCAAATCATCAATTTAAACTGGCAGCAGCCTGGTAGTCCCCGTCGTCCAGGAACTTTCTAGTATTCAATTTTAATTCCACCAACTGGTGGCATTAAAAGACCGAGTACGGTTAGAAAACTGTTGGTAAAGAACATTTCTAACAGTATTCCAGGAACATTAATCGCTCAGACTAATTCTCTGTTCTGAGGGACACTGTGGAAAAAGCTGATCTGAAATCAGCTGCAGCAGCTTGACAGCTCGCCGTCTCGTCCCCCCGGCTGACGTCTCCTTGAACAGAACAACGAGAAGTCTGTTCATTATGATCTGCAGACAGTTACCAAAGAGAAGCTTGTTGTGATGGATTTCTTACCGCTCGTTTCAGACAGATGTTCGAGGTCCTGATGTTAACGGTTTATGCGGGTGATTGTTTTGTAGCCAACATCGTGAAGAGTTCTGGCGCGGAACAATAACGTTTGGAAATGTCAGCGGATGAACGTCATCGTGCGGCGAGATGTCGCTTTTGTTTTCTTGTTTGCTTCAATGAAGTGTCCAATGCACGTTTTATTCAGAACGCAATATCTGTTAAATAAATAGAAATAAATATTTTAATATATATTAAATAAATAAATATGTATAATAAAAAATATAAATAAATAATATAAGCATAAACAGTAATATAAATAATAATAATAAATACATATTTATTTATAATAAATATATAAATAAATAATATAAACATAATATTAATAATAGTAATAATATATAAATAAATAACATAAACAATAATACAAATATAATATAAATAATGATAAATATATAAATAAATAATATAAGCATAAACAGTAATATAAATAATAATAATAAATATTTATTTATTTATACTATATAAATAAATAAATAATATAAACATAAACAATAATACAAATATAATATAAATAATGATAAATATATAAATAAATAATATAAGCATAAACAGTAATATAAATAATAATAATAAATATTTATTTATTTATACTATATAAATAAATCAATAATATAAACATAAACAATAATAAAATTATGATAAATATATAAATAATAATAAATATAAATACTACTAATAATATATGAATAAAATTTAAAAATATATATATATTAGTATCCAAATGCAGGCGAGCTACAAATCTATTTTTAACTTTATGGCTGGTGAGGGTTCCATTTTCTTTACCCACTTTTTCTTTTCTGGGTCGTGAAGGAGCTGGAGTTGAGCTCCAACGGTCACTGTGTGGGCGGTGGTGTGTGTGTGTGTGTGTGGGGGGGGGGGGCACTCTGAACAGGACCCAAGTCCTTCATATAAAGATAAATGAAATTCACACTCTCACCGGGGACAGTTTTATTTTTAATCTATTTATCTTGCGTGCATGTTTTTGGTCTGGGGAGAACCTGAAAATTACACAAAGAAAGGTTCTGAGCGACGGTGCTAACCACTGTACCACTGCGTCGCTTTGTAACAACCAACGTGCAGCAAATCCATTTAATTTCATTAACTTTCAACGAAAGTTGTGGTTTGCTTGTAAAGCATTTTTTTTTTTTTTTTTTTACAAATAATTTCACTTAAATTTGATCAGTTTAATTAGTTTTTATGCCTCAACATAATAAAATAAAAGTTACAGATGCCCTGAAAGTTAAAAACAGATGAACCTCGTGTGAAAATCGTCAGTCTGCCCGAACGTTGATACAAAATGTTGTCGGGTAAATAACTTAAATGTTAAACTTTCATGTTTTTACCGCTTTTTCACAAAAATAACTGTTTGAAAACTTTGTTTATGAAGTTGTTTTAAAGTAGATGACATCGTGGCGCCGCTTTACTTTGACGCCGACAGAGGCCGAAGCTTCAACCTGTCGTGCTTCATCGCTACAGTTTCTGATATCGGTTCAACCTCTTCTTCCTCAGTCACGCTCTCCGATTGTATCACCTGAACCTTTGAACTGTCTCTTCTCATCGGTGCCACACCATTCTACACAAACAAAGGATTAAACGCATCTCGTTGTGTTGTTACGTTAGAAAAATAACTTGAAATAATTATTCAGAAGTCCAGGATTGAGCTTTGACAACAAATGTATTCAAAATACTCGCAAGAAGATCGATATTGGGAGAGGCGACTGTCGATAACGTGCATTCACATTTTCTGTCCTCCACTATTCACCATAAAGTTATCAAGTGTGTTACAAAAATATAATTTTAACAAAGAACCACCCTTTCCTGTTCATTGTTTAAACTGTCAGTCACATATGGTGAGGTCGCATTATTAGTGACCACAACAGAGTTTTTTTTTTTTTTTGCAGAGAAGTAAAGATTTCAGACAATGCATTTCGTTGTGAACAATAGGAATGTGCGATATGGCATAAAATTCATATCACGATACGTATTGTGAAGAGTGGCGATAACGATATATATCACAATATGTTTTTGGTATAAAACTTGCAATAGGAATTTTTTAAAAGCACAGGGTGTCCTTTTGCCATCATTTATTTTGAATTAAGAAAATTCCACGACTAGGTCCAGAGAGTTTTTAAATAATAAACAAATCAAGTATTAGGCTTCTTTCTTGTAGTGCGAAATATATCAAATGTAGTTTTAGTCATATGTTTTAAACAAAAGAATATGTTGTTAACTCTCAACAGTTTCCAGTCTTCTCACTTAAGAAATGAACTTCAACAGAGCAGCATTTTACACTGAAACACTTCACCCTCCAAACCTCTAGTGGGCGACTCCTTCCGCTTTAAGGAGAGCTGACACAAAACGAGTCTGTGACCAGAGGGTCTCGCAGTAAAATCACACAACACGGCGTTCTTTTACAGATCAGAGAGCAGCTTTCTCTAAAGCTGACCAACGCTTACTTTAACTTTCAACGGGGAAAAAAAAACTTTCGACGGAACTCAGCGTTTTGCGCATGCGTCCGAATTCGCTACTTAGCTCTCAAAGAAAAGACTTTAACACCACTTACGCACAGTTTTCAACTAAAAAAGTAACGATTAAACTGACAACTTTGATTTTACTTCAGACACAGCATTACTGCGGTTAGCCGGTAGAAGACAGATCTCTATCGTAGGCTAAATTTCTATCGTTTCTACCATGTACCGTATGTATCGCGCATTCCTAGTGGACAATATAGATACTGATATATTTTACCTCTACGTTGTTGTTCTGAATAAAGTATTACAAGGAATAACCTATGCTAGGTTAGCTAAAGGTTAGCTTGCTAACTTGAGAGGCATGTAGCTAATGACAAAGAAGTTGGAGGATTGAAGAGAAGTTATTATTATTGTTTTTTTTATTTTACAGATCAGTTAAAATAAACTGAGCATATTCTGTTCAGCAAAATACGCTACACAGTATTACTCACTGCTTCGTCTGCGTTGAAAGTGCAACTTAAGTGAACAGCCATGACTTGAAGGTTGTCTTCATGCGCCCTCTGCTGGATGCATTGTACAATTATGGCTGGCTTTACCATTTTAGGGGTGAAAATTAGAAATGTTTATATTGGCACATAATGGGACAATTATCACAGATACCGATAGGTTCCCAAACGCCTATCTCAGCCTAAATTATTGACCCTACTGACATATCCGTCAGGCTCTAGTTAAGATGTTGTTAGCCAGAGAAATAACCACCTGGTTAAAGAGCTCCTGAAGGGTAGGAGGAGTGTGACCCATGATCTTGAGCTAGTCTGTAATTTTTATTAGATGCTGAGTCCGAGTTTTGCTAGGTTCCTCAACTAGTTGGTGGTGCCATAACAAAGAATGTAGGGATGCACAATTATTGGATTTTTGGCCAATATCAGATATGCCAATGTTAAAACCTATTTGGCCAATAACCGATACCGACCTACTTACAGAGACTATATAACTTTCTCTGCTGTGGAATTAAAATACTACGTTATTCTGCATGGTCTTTGTCAGTTTGGCCTGATACCAAATGTAGATGCCAAAAAGGGTCTGAAAATGATGCAACACTTCAACTTGGATTATGTTTAATGTCAAATTTATTCATGACATTTACACTCTCTAACACATTGACAACACTTGAACAGTGCAAATTAGGGGTGCTCCGATTTATCGGCCCCGATTTCCTTAATTTTGGGAAATCGGAAATTGTCCGATACTTGTACGAGAAACTGATTTTACAGATTTTTTTTAGTTTTAACGACAATTGTCTGAACTTCATTTAAATTTCAGAGCACTACCTGGGTCAGTTAAAACAACTTTGTGTCGTTTCTAGGATATTGTTCAAAGGTAAGTTTTTCAATAATTGAAAAATTGAAGGTGCATTGTGACCTTATAACACCTGACAGTGTCGCCAATAAAACAATATCGGTATCGGCCAAAATCAGAATCGGCAGGTCAGACTTTTTTAGAAATCGGTGATCGGGCAAAAAACTGCAATTGGTGCACCCCTAGTGCAAATTTGTACATTTTCACAAATCTAAACTCAACCTGTCCACAAGCGACAAGTGAAAAGTGCATAAGTAGTAGTGCATTAATAGATATACTTGACAGTTTCTTAAATTAAAATTTAACTTAAAACAGAAGCCTTTTATATCGGTGAGGTTTTTTTTGATGGAATGGCCGATGTTTGATATTTAACTTTATCACTAATATCAGCCGATACCATGCCAATAATATCGTGCATCCCTCAAAGGATGGACTTTATTGTTGCTCTTTAGTTTATCATTTTTAAATCAGATAGGCAATATAACGTGGGCCGGTTCAGAATCGACTTGTTGGGTCTGGATCCGCACCAAAGTCAGGACGTTGGAAATTGTTGCTGTAAGGATTTATTATAAGTAGCAAGAAGGACGGTTTGGAAACAAAAGGTCATCCACAGAAGAAATAGGTGATACAAATGTGAGCTGACGTTTTGTATTTTCTAAATTTTAAAAAATCTTATAAAGAGGAAATGTAGGAGCTGCCAGACCGTCTCGTTTCAGCACGTCTGAACAGCGACGGTTTGGTGAAGTGTCGAAGGTCAAACGTTGTGCTAAGCGCCACTCTCCTGTCGCCGCTGCAGTGAAGAAACAAGGCCAGATCGGCATCATCTCCTGCCTCAGCTTCAGCCCGTGTCAGGCTGTTTACGCCTGCGGCTCGTACTCCCGGTGCGCCGGCCTCTACTCCTGTCAGGACGGCACCCTGCTGGCCCTGCTGCCCACCCGCCACCACGGAGGCCTCACCCATCTGCTCTTCTCCCCCGATGGCAACTACCTGTACACCGGCGGGCGCAAGGTCAACGCACACACACACACACACAGTGTCATATGTTCATGGAGTGGAGCTGGTGCAGACACAGTCGTGTAGTTTTGGAAAAATCAACACGAGTTGAAGCTAATTAGGCGTCGGTACATTACAGTGTTTTCACCGAAGTGTCACACAAGCTTGAATCTGCACAACGCGTCTCCTGCTTTGACTTTTATTTTGGTCTAGATTTGCATCAAACTGTTAATTATATTCCAAGTATAATTGCTCGTGTTAAATATCCGGGCCGTGGCAGTTTGATGCGTACAGAACCCGAAACGACGAACTAACATGTCACGTCTGCAGTCGTTTACTGAAGTTTTGTTTACAGGAAAATAATGGAACTGACAGAAATGTTCTCCGTGTGTTCAAACGCGTTTGTCTGCGTCACGGTAACATGAAATACTGTCCGAATTAAATCTCTTCTGTAGGATCCGGAGATTCTGTGCTGGGACCTGAGAGAACCGGGAAAAGTCGTGTTTTCTCTCCAGAGGAACGTGGCCACCAACCAACGGATCTACTTCGACCTGGACCAGTGAGCCGACCCTCCCCGATCAGAACCCCGGCTTCAGCTCGGCTGCGTCCTAACTCTGTCTTGCTGTGTGTTCAGGTGCGGCCGGTACCTGCTGAGCGGAGACACGGAGGGGGCGGTGTCGGTTTGGGACACTCGGACGGCGCCCCCTGATGGTAACGAAGATCTCCTGCAGCCTGAGCTCCGGTTCCGGGCCCACTGGGACTGCACCAACGGCATCAGGTAGAACCGCTCCTCTCGCTGATGACGCTCAAGAGTTGTTGTAAAATAGGCTTTAAAAGTTATTATGGATAGAAGAGTTTGATAAAAAATAAATAAAAAATGGAATGTACCATACTTGCCACCATACACGTAGCACTGCCATATAGGTCACATAGGTCATATAAGTCACATCAGTCCAAAAATGTCTAATAAAGTGGAAAAAACATAAATAAGTCGCTTTGTCGTATTAGTCGCATCTATTATGTGTCACCGCTGACAACCTGGACATGTAGGCCGGAGTTGTGCCAAAAATGGATTGGCTGCCAAATGGTGGCCACGGGAGCATGCAAGGGAGGACTTTAACAAGAATTTACTAAGATAACCACCTAAAAACAATTGTTTGTTTGCTCGACATCATAGTAAAGGTGTGTCTCAGTTGAACTTTTCCTTAATAAATGCACTTTAATGGTCAAATCAGCTGCTTTTCGCCTGGGCGGCACGGTGAAATGCAGCTGATTGGACGTTTGACCCAGGAGTTCTGGTGCGAGATGAAGGTGGCTTGGTATGGCAAGCCAAGTGTCTCATTAATAGCCACTTTTACCTACTAATAAGACAATTGGCTTGCCATATTAGTCGAGGGCCCTCTAGTGGCTGAAAATGGTAGTGTTCAATATTTTCCATGTCAGAATGAATGAAATCGTCAAATCTCGTCCAAAACTTAGGTTATAAATATGGAAAAAAACGTATATTAGTTGCTTCACTGTATAAGTCGCAGGACGTGCCCATTTATGGAAAAAGGTGCAACTTGTACAGCGAAAATTACGGTAAATGTCAGAACTGGGGAGACCAGCTGTTTTTGGAGGAGAATGTTCCAGTGTTTCCCCCACTGTTATTCACAGAGGGTGCCCCGCCCTGCCTATCGAACTCTCTCCACCCCCGTCAACAACTGCCAGCACTGACGTAGCGCTAAGCTAGCGGCACGCAATACAGACGCGCTAGCTATAATGCAATAGAGCCGTTTCCTTCACCCCTCCATGTTGACGACCATTGGCACACACGCCGCACCTCACAGAGGTTTCTCCGTCCGTCAACAAGTATCACAGAAGAGACGAGCGCCCTGCCAAGATAAGTAACTTAAGGGAAACTGTCTCGTTCTTATGAGGTAAGATTCTTGCTTTTCAATAGTCCTGGGTCGTCTTTGCTGGATTGTTTTATTTAACGATGCATCAAATGTTTTCAAATAGTGAAAGGTCTGTGCTGCAAGCAGACCACTTCAGCCCCCGGACTCTTTTACCAGGCCATGCTGTTGTCATGGATGCAGTGTGTGGTTTTTGCAATGTCTTCAAGACATCTGGATATGAGGAGATATTGTTTTTAATGCACCGATGAAGCTGTTCCAGTTGTGTAAGCTGCTCATTTCAGAGGCACTAATGCACCCCTATACCATCAGAGAGGCATGCTTTTAATCTTTTTGCTGTTAACAGGCTGATTGACCCCTCTCCTCTTTAGTTTGGAGGACATAGTGTCTATAGTTTAAAAAACAACAACATTTTCATTAGTCTGAAAACGTTTGTCTCGGTCCTCCGTCTTGTTGAAGCTCCAAAATTCACGGTTGAAACCCGTGCCTTCGTGTAAAAAGTTGTTTTTCTCTGCAAAAAGAAGCTGAGAACTTGTTTACTGATTTTTATTAAAAGCTTTGTGTGACAAATGCTAAAGAGCTCAAACCACACCGAGCGTCCGCCATTTTGAGAACCGGAAAAAAGTAAAGCGAGACAGCCCATGTCACGTCAAGGGGCCTCCCTCCCATTTTTCTTAAAGAGACACGCTGCTCGCTCCCTCACTATCCATCCTTCGGTTCAAACAGTCTTATACTGCCATCCGGTCGTCAAAAAGGTACTACTTGCAAAAATTAACAAACATTTCTTCCTAAATTTGACAATAATTGCTAATTGTCAAATTTCAAACATTATTATCGTTTATCACAATAATTTCTGAGACAATCGCCAAGCAAAATTTGTTGTTGTGAAAGTATTACTCCTGAGTCCATGCAGTGGTGTCCAGAACAGAATCAGGCCTGTTTTTAATGCAGTGGCCCCTGAGGGCCCAAAGATCACGGCCATTAAATACTGACTTTCAGCCTCGTCCTTTGAACTGAGATTTTTCCAGATTCTTGAACTGTTTAGAAAATATTTCACCATCTCCAGCTTCTACTGCTTATCTGTAGTCGGGTCACGGAGGCAACCATTCCAGGAGAGAAATCCAGACCTTTACCTCCCCAGCGACACCCTTTAGCTCCTCCTGGGGGGACCCTGAGGTGTCCCCAGTCCAGAGAAGATACACAATCCCTCCACTGACCTCTGGGTCTTCCTCGGGGCCTCCTGTCAATGTGACGTGCCCAGAAAAACCTCTAAAGCGAGGCGTCCAGGCGGCATCCTAATCAGATGCCCAAACCACCTCAACTTTTGATGTGGAGGAGCAGCGGCTCTACTCCGAGCTCCAACTGGATGACGGAGCTCCTCGCCCTGTCTCTTAAGGCCTGACCACCACAAGGGGGAAGCTCATTTCAGCCGCTTGTATCCAGGATCTCGTTCTTTCGGTCATGATCCAAACCTCATGACTTAGGTGAGGGTTGAAACGAAGACATGCCGCTAAGTCAAGTGCTTTGCCTTTCCATTTAGCACTTTCTTCACTACGACTGACCGAATCAACACCCTCATTACTCGGGACGAGGCCTCAATCTGCCTATCCATCTCGCGCTCCATCCCACCCGGAGGGGGCATTCTGGTTGAGAACCACGGCCTCAGACTTTGAGGAGCGGACTCAAGTGTCCTGCTCTGTTTAACTGTACACAACTTTTTTATTTCTTCTACAGAAAATCATGATATCCAAATGTGTTTCAGTGGGAGAGCAGCTTCTTATTTTAAGAGTTACCTTTTAGTGGATGTTATTACTTCATTATCAGATTAACTTCTTAATTAAAAGTCCAAAATTATCACTAATAGGAAACCATTTATCTAAAACAGGTACATTCAAATTAAAAAGGAAGGAGCTGATGAATAACATTAATTAACATCTTTTAATGTAATCCGATCCCCGTGCTTGATAAACGACTCATCTTCTGGTAGTATTTAGACGTGTTGTGCTCTCTTCATTATAAAAATTCTATCCAATCTCCCCCCTCCCTGGTTCTGCCACCCCCCCAGCATTCATCCCTTTATGCCTCTGTTGGCGACATCCAGCGGCCAGCGGCAGTTCCCGGGGCCCGGTGACAGCGGGGGCGACTCTGCCTCCGACACCGAGGTAGACGGAGCGGAAACGCAAAAGCAGGAGACCCGGCAGGACAACACTCTGTCTCTGTGGTGGGCCGGACCACTCGGGCCTCCTGCTGAGGGGGACCAGGACCAGAACACGGCAGCGGTGGAGGGGTGAAGCTCTCGCATTACAGCCAAGGAACGCAGATTTAGGAACGACTGATCTGCGAAGGCTGTTTTGGGACTTTTGCGTTTGTAAAAAGCTAATTTGGGTTATTGAATGTTTTCTTTTTAGCATTGTTTAAAAAATTATGTTTTTCTTGAGACAACTATAAGATTGTAATAAACTGTAAATGGACTGTACTTATATAGCGCCTTTCTATCTTATTAAGACACTCAAAGCTCTTTACAACACAATCTGTGCCCTCATTTACCCAGTCATACAGCACTCTACTAGATCTGTACAAAGAATAATCAGAGCTTTATCACATTCATACACTGATGGGACACACATCGGAGGCAATGAAGGGTTCAGGCTCTTGCCCAGGGACATTTTGACTTGTGACTGCTGGTGGAATCGAACTCCCAACTCTTACATTGGAGGACGACTGCTCTAACCACTCAGCCAACTGCCCAGAACTATAAAAACAATACCCACATTTCTTTATTTAAACCCAGATTGACTCTTGTATCGAGGTCATTTTAAACCCATATTTACCGGTACACATTTGAGCCTCTAACTTGAGTTAAAATAAACACACCTACATAGATTCAATCTAAGGTGAATCTTCAAAACTCTGAAAAAAGACTTTATGGTTTAAATCAGCTGTCCCCATCCTTTTATACAACACAGATTACGGTAGTTTCATACAAGACAGCTTTCCCACAAACTTGTGAAGAAAGAAGTTCTCCAGTAATTAGTTTAGGTTATTTTACTCAGTTTTACTGGGGTTAGCCTGTAGGTTTGTTAAGGTTAGCTTGTAGGGATGCTAGGGTTAGCTTGTAGGTTGGCTGGGGTGAGCTTGTAGGGATGCTAGGATTAGATTGTAGGTTTGCTCGGATTAGGTTCTAGTTTTTGCTAGGATTCGCTTATAGGGACGCTAGAGTTAGCTTGTAGGTTGGCTGGGGTTAGCTTGTAGGTTTGGTAGAGTTACCTTGTAGGGATGCTAGGGTTAGTTTACAAGCTAACCCTACAATCCTAGCTAATCTACAGGTTTGCTAGGATTAGCTTGTAGGGATGCTAGGATTAGCTTGTATTGGTGCTAGGATTAGCTTGTAGGGATGCTAGGATTAGCTTGTAGGGATGCTAGGATTAGCTTGTATTGGTGCTAGGATTAGCTTGTAGGGATACTAGGATTAGCTTGTATGGATGCTAGGATTAGCTTGTAGGGATGCTAGGATTAGCTTGTATTGGTGCTAGGATTAGCTTGTAGGGATGCTAGGATTAGCTTGTAGGGATGC